AAATACAACAGTACGTCCGATCGTTTCTGATAACGAACACGTTCGACGGGCACTGGGTATGGCTTGCGGACAAGGAAAAAGTGAGCCAAATAGATGTGTTTGGCCCAGTCCATTGAACCTGTCCTTCCTTCCAGTCGAACCTTCGACTCAGCGTACAGGTCATGTTAACGACTTTCTTTCTCGTTTTATCTGAATAATGTTTCTTCCTCCTATAGCTTATCCTTGCCACTGCCCACTAATTACGTGGCAGATGCGCCGCATGTAGACAACGCATATGTCCTCACCCTAAAGCAGGGAAAACGCGCATCAAAGCGCCCTATCATCTAATGTAGCACCGAGCCACCCACATCGAAGGATATAGACACCACGCTTTAGTAACCGTCCTCCATGTTTATTACCAGAAAAGGAGTTGGTTCGAGAAACACGCTTTCAGCTTCACACGATTGTACTTTGAGATCACTTGTATATATCTACAAACATTTCTGGCCGTTTGTCATCGTGGCCTGACATTTCGCCGAGTTACCAATCGATGGAAGATTGTTATATCATAAATTATACGCCCTTCTTGCTATATTAAAGCATTTTTTGCAGATAATCTCAATCCAATCATTATAACTTTTATCAACTCATTACGTCTTTTTTCTTCTGTGGCATCGTGGCTATACGAGCGTTTTACTTGTCTTTAGACAGCGTATACCTGAATTTTACGCGTACGTGTGTGCATGTTTGATAAGAACGTATGCCGCTGGCAAAGCTATTCGAGTTCTTGCAGCGCACAATGTGCGGACTTCTTAATGCTCCGGCCAACTCTCAGCAAGCGAGCATCTGCGAGAAGCACATCGTTTGTCAAACAGTAGACGGAAGCAAATTGAAATGGCCCCGATCCTACCGACAAACAATGGCTTGCCACAGCGACTGTGTTTTGTAGAAAGACGAATAAAAAAATGCTATATGTTCAAGAGGAAATTCATAATCAGGGCATTCAGTCATGCATGTGCTTACGTGCTCTGCAGTTTGGTCACAGTTGATGAGTTCGATGTCACATGCACAAAGTTTGTCAGTGCGACCTGTGTTCCAATGTGAACGGAATGGATGGAGTACGAATGGCTAGTCCAGCAACGATGTTGTGTTGGGGCAGTTAGACACTCTGAAAGCGTATTTACTTGTGTATGACGAGAGCCTGATAACAGAAAAAAAAATGAGCGTCGTGTACTGCCTTGTTTGGATTTTTGAGATGAACTATCAAATAGGGCAACGCACTGAACGCACTGCTTCGCTGCGTAAAACTTGCCAGGGGCGCTTGTACCAGCATAGAGTGAATAGCACGAAAGCAAGGGTGTGAGCTAATCTGCAGAAGAGGCAATGGCAAAGAAAACGTACACGAGCAGTTGTATTCAAAATACCGGTTTGAGCTCTCAACACCATATGCAGCTACGCATAAGCAATATTGGGAGGTGTCTAATAAAAGTCATTGACCAACGGTACAAATTAACAAGTGGGTCAATGAGGTCATCGCGAAGAACGTGCCTACATTTAAATGTGTTTGCTTACTAAATATAGCTTCGTGAGAGCGGCGTCGTACGCGTCCTAAAAATCAGGCTACCGTACAAAAGCGCTCCGGGCTCAAAACGGCAGCCTGCTAAGTACGGAAAGACGACACCACCCGGGTGCCGCGTTTTGTGAAGAGGCAACCCGATTTGTGAAGAGGCTCGGGAAGGAGGTGGAGGGAGGGAAGAAAATAAAGGCGGGACGATCAACCAGGCGTGAGTCTGATTCGCTATCGAACGCTGCGGAAAGAGTGAGGGTATTAAAGAAAAGAAGGAGAGGTTAGCGAACACCGTCAGGGTACATGTGTGCCTGTCCATTGCACGCTTACAAGTGGTCGCTTAATCCAGTCAATATTAGAAAAACCTAGCCATGCCCGCGTCACTTTGCTGGCCTGCAACGCGCAGATCCACGATCCGAGGATCTTCTCTTCAGAGAAGGAGCACGCTGAAACAGCGTTGGGAATCCGCGTGGCATCGACAAAGTCAGCAACAGGCAGGTGTCTGCACACTCACACACAGCGAGCACGCACACAAAGCCTTTGTAGGCTGGAACAGAAGACACAATGGTGTGGGTACAAGGCGGGCCGACCATTGTGACGACCTCCTCCTCTTCGCGGTGGTGGGTCTGCTTTTGGTGCAGGCGCGACCGGGAGAAAGTCAACGGCCCGAGTCGGGGTTCGGGTGGCGGTGCGCCAGCGCGTCATGTACAGCCTCCCTCGCCCGCCGCTGCCTTTTTCTTCCCCCGATTGTGATTCACTGTCGGGCAGCTGCGCCCTTTGCGACCTCGAGGCGACATCGATGCTTGGTCCGCTCGGTGGCGGCATCGGTCGGCGGGGTGCTCGGAGGTAAACACTCACCGCGCTGCGGCGGCGCCTCACAAAAGGAAGACGTCGTCCCCAATCTTCGTCGTTGCCGGAGGTCAGGCAAGCAGCGCACGTAGGGGTGTCCCGACGTTTACTAGATTACTGCACGAAGGGTGGGCGGAGTGCGCAAAGTCAGCGCTCTTCGCTGTTTGCGGAACGACGCCGCGTTTATGCGATTGTTGGTGTGCGAGACCGAGTCTCTTCGCCCGCTGCCCCGAAGTGGCACGCGCCGGCGTGTTGACGTAAAGAAGGAACCGTGCCTGATGTACGGCGCTCTTCTTTTTATTTTATTTCGCAGGTGAGTGTGTTAGCGAGCGAGCGGCTTTGCCACGGCTCCCGCACGACTTCGCAAAACAGGCACGCGAATTTCACGCGGAGTCGGCGCGCACGTTTACCGCGTTCAGTGCCTTCGCCATGCGTGTTTTCGCACTATGCAAGCAATTGTTAGAAGCATGGGTGCTCGGTGCTTTCATGGATGCTTGTCATATTCTTCAAGGTGGCTTCGTCTCAGTCAACATAACGATACAGAGGACCAGCGGCTAAACTGCGTCCGCGTAGAAGATGATGCAATATTTTTGATTCGTGTTACATTATGAGGTATGGTAATTAACAATTTTTGTACGGCGAATCCTGAACCTATTTTATATTGGTAATTGAGCTAAAGTGGCAGGTATCCGCATACATTTTAGGGATTCCGTTCTTTGCTATTCGCAGTCATACAAGCGTAATGATGCTTGGGCAGATAAGAAACAATAAAACTGCATAGAAATATACTGATTTATTATTATTATTATTATTATTATTATTATTATTATTATTATTATTATTATTATTATTATTATTATTGGAGGTGGTGGTCAAATGGCAATGCTGTACAACTAATTGTATTCATGCTATCACATCCCAAAATAGTCACGAAGTTGTTGTGTTATTTCATGGCAAAAGAACTGGCATATAAATTGGGCTTGGTTTGGTTGCGAACGCTGTTAGAAAAAGGTAGGAAACTATTGGACTCGACATGGAGAGCCGCCGCTCTGCGAAAAGAAATGCATGCTGTCTACTGGAAACGTAAAATATATTACCTGCATAGGTAGGTTAAAGCATGTAGTCATTACACTCTGCGTGGTATAGTGTGGCCAAAAGACAGGCGTTACAATTACTGGTCGATAATCTGAGCTCCTTCTATAGGCATATTTGCATTATAATATAGAATTCACCCTTCGATGTGTCGAATAGTAAAGCGATGCCGCCTAAGCAAGAATTAAATGATCACGAAAAGTACAACACTCTTCCCAGTGCCTAACCGAGTGTCATCGTGTACTAGCCGTTATATTTTGTCAATCGCATGATAGCTGCATTCTGCCAGGATTTCTTGATACCCAATGCATGTTCTTATCGTTTCAATGTACGAGCGTTCTCTGCCATCCATCTTTTCGAGCAAATCAATGACGAACATCATTAAATCACCACACTACTGCGGCTGTTCGAATCAGCGATTGCAGAATAAGGAGGAAGGCTTTCCATGGTTTCCTTATCCGGTTATTTCGCATTTCATCACGTGTCACACGTCCGCATTGCTTTTCGCTGAAAATTTTGTAGTCTACTGCGCTACGTACATGACTTCTCGAAAAATTCGCTACAGTAATAATTACAAACGGCTTATATGCGTGACTGGCCCAACGAGGTTGCCTGTATTCGCCATAAACTGGATTACACTAATATTATTTAACCAGAGGAAAGTGTAGTGAGGAAATACCTTGCCTTAAATCACTTTTCCTAAACACTTCTTTAGTGTTTGACGAAGGAGAGGAGGATGTTAATTTACTTCCTGAACTTCAATACTTGTTCGCAACGGCAAGCACGTATTCTTGAAAGGCTTGTCGGGCTGGCGAGCGGTTTTCTGCACAACTGTTGCTCAATATGCGCAATCAATGACTTCTTTTTTTTTAGTGAAAGATTTGAGTTAACTTGATTAATTGCGTAATAGTGATAAGAGATTTCATTCACTAAATATACTCGAGGATGCTTTCCCTGAAACGCCCAAAAGGACATCCCTTTTTAAAACGGTTTTGTCCGAGTCACCAGTATATATATACGTATTCCTGAGACCAATGACTATCTGGCGTATTTAGCATGCGAATAAAAGAGCGCACTCGGTATGCAGAACAGGTGACACATTCTTAGCAGTGGTCATATACAGCGACGCAAAATTTGAGATTCTGAGATTGATAATTTTTGGAAAGCGGGGCTTCTTTCGTATTTCACTCATCAGCCATCTATGTGAACTGTTCTTCTTTCTTCTGCACTAGACTTTGCCAAAGAACTGGAAGAGACTTCGTCTTAGTTCCAACGAGAAAATGATAACGAGAAATGGTAATCAAAACAATTGTGCAAAGCGAAACAAAGCAGAGCAAGCGTTCTCTTTTCGTCAACAGCGTGGGTATGCGAAAGGCACCACGGCATCAGCGCGTACGAAGCCGCTATACCTTATATTAAAGTATAAACGACGCAAACACTAGGAAACACTATACGGAAAAAGGAAGAAAAATACATATACAAAAAGAGGACGTGATCGTTTCGGGCAACTCACCTGCATTCGCGGCGTAGCCAGAGGAGACAATGAGGGAGATCAGAAAGATGACGATAATCCGACAGGCCGTTATCCACAGATCGAGGAACCACCGGCGGCGATCACACTGGCGTGCCATAGCTCGGCTCTCATGCTACGGTCGCAGCACTGGCAAACTTCCTCGCTTCACGATCGCGCGGTGGGAACGGTACCGCTTAATTCGGAGAGCCGCCGTGGTTTCGCAGGCTCGCGTGCCAGTCGCGTTCTCTTCCGTCAAACACTCTCCGGCAGGCGCGATTCAGCCGCAACACCTCCGTCTCGGAAGCCCACTCGCTGGCGCGGCACGCTAAAAGAAGCCAGCACGTTCCGCACAATTTTTCTTTCTCTTTCGACGCACGAGGAAGAACACCACCACGCGGATGAGCTAAGAGAGTCGAGATGCGGACGGCGGGCACAAGCTTGCGTCGGGGCGGCCGCACGCGTCCGCGGAGACGCCTTCTCTGCGATACAAACGTGCCGCCCGTCGCACCGGAGAGCGCGAGCAAGAGCGGGATCACTCGTTGGCCAGGGGGGCTGCGCGACGCCAGCGCCACATCGAGGGGAGCGGCGGCGGCCGGCGCTGCTCGGAGCGATGAGATGCCCCGGAGCGAGGGGTCCGCTACCAGGTATCGGAGGATGACGCGATAGCTGGGTATTGAGAAGGAGGAGGTAGCGGAAGATGTAGATTTAAAAGAGTTCGGTCAAGGTGAGGGAGAAAGAGAGAGCAACACGATGTGGTGAGTGGAGAGAGGTTAAGAGTATTGGTGTCGTTGTCTGGTTGAGAGGACAGCACTGTAACAATAGGAAAGACGACGAAATGCGAGGAGAAACGAGGCTGTTTCTGAAACAAGCCCATGCTAACACACTGAAGACACCTGTAAATGACTGATTTTTCGTGTTGTCTTCTCCTAAGAAAGAAAGAAAGGTGGACAGAAAAAAACCGCAAAGTGCTAACGGATGCAGGAATCACTATCGAGACACCATATTATTTTTATTTCTGAAAAGTTAGCAAGCTTGCCTTTTCGAGTCAAAATAATTTATCAACCCTTGACAAATCATAATATTCTCATAAGACAACTTGAGAACTGCAGTAACAAAATTAGTGCAGCGTGGGAGAATTTCCACAACATCTTCAACAAGATCTTCCCGCAAGCAAAGAAACTGACGAAATGCGATTCGCATTGCCGTGAGAGACGGAATACGAAACCCTCTGTCTTATGTTGAGACAGAAAAACAGCTGTATGAATTCGAGAGGCGGTTTTAAAAAGGCAGCGTATGGAACCGTCCCACACAAGGCGCAACCTGCGGCTATACCGAAACGCGACATTCTGCACCAAATTTTCGCATTCAATTTTTTCCTGTTGTGTGCATCCTCCTTGTCGCCTCTTGATGTTGTCCTATATAGAGGGTCTTTACTCTAGTACGGCAAGATTCAGCTGGAGCCTTCAAAAGATGAAGTGTGGGCTCGTGTTGAAGCGCGACCTCGTGTTGATCGCCTCCTCTGCGTTGTCGAATTCCGTTCGACGAGCTACTTAACGACAACGGCGAAGAGTCGACAAGGAACAGCTTCGCTGTTCGAACACTCATTTTAACTACGATGCGGTCTGGGGTCAGCTCAAAACCCCGTGTATAACTATAACATCCCCGAATCTCCACGAAACGAATCATGATGGGTGGGCGAAGCGAGGTCGTAAGGTCCATATTGTCGATTTTGAAGGCGCCGACTGGTATAAAGGGTTTGTGCTTGTGTAGTGTTTTGTGTGTGAGTGAGAATTTATTAGAAGGCAGAGAGGTCAGCCTGAGCTAGTTCGCTCTAGCCTAGTGCTCTACACAGTGTGTATATGAAAGAGGAATGAAAGAGGGATGAAGGATGATGATGGGGACAAGAACAGGTGGTACGTATGTACAGCAGCCACTTAGTATAGCAACCTACAGTCTCGTATCTTTTGATAAAGTCTAAAACAGCCCTTGTAGCATTTTTTACACTGGTCGTTCATTGCTGATGGCATATGGCTTTCACTTACTGGCGTTCGTTCGATGCTTGGCAACGTTGAAGTTAGCATTTTTCTTTGCTCCACGTATAATGGGCAGACACAAAATATATGAGCTCAAGTTTAGCGTACTTGGCAGCGCTCACAATTCGGACTCTCCGCACGGCCAATTTGGTGGGTGTAGTGACGAGTGAAAGCGACGCCCAGGCGAATTCGGTGCAGTATATTAGCATGTCTTCGGCTGATGTTAGCAGTAAAACGAAAAGTCATATCAGGGTCTGTTTTCCACAGACGCTTGTTCCGACGGTCTGGTAGGGACCAGTAAGTGGCAGCGCATGCGTGCATGAGCGTTCTCAACAATGTGTTGACGTCACTTTGCGAATACGGTACTTTGACGTACAGTAGGAGCGTTGTATACTGCCTGCTTTTGCTTCGCTATCGGCTTGTTCATTGTCAACCAGGCCGCAGTGTCCAGGAACCCATTGGAGGGTAATCAAGTGACCACTCCTGTGTGCTAGGTCAAATGCTAACGCGTAAAATTGGCCTCTTCCTGAGCAAGAATGGATGGCTTAAAGCGCTGGTTTTGCATCGGACAGAATCGTCCATTTACGCGGTGCTTGGCCGTTCGCAAATTTTATGGCTTCCTGTGTAGCAACAAGTTCCGTTGCTGTCGAAGTTGACCTGTGATCTAATTTGTACTGTCGGGAAATACCAAGTTGAGGGATCCCGAAGACTGCATCTGGGGTGGACGAAGTTACGGATCCATCGGTGTAGATGTGCACAGAGTCGCTGTGTTGGTCATCCAAATGTGCCAAGGTGAGAGTCTTGAGGGCAACATAAGAAACATACGACTTACACAAAATTCCGCGTATGTGAAGGCACACCAGCGGTTTAGTCAATGTCCATGAAGAAACTCCGAAGATTGTGGCAGGTGCAAAGTCTGAAGGGATCATATGTCTATGCGTATCGAGGCACTGTCGTGAATAGGTACAGTCTGGTCGGTACGCTTGTAGCGAAGACAACGGGTGCTGTGCATGTAGGGTCAGCAGACGAAAGTGCACTCAAAGAGGTTCACGGGACGTGTAAATATGTATAGGGTAGGTGCGGGGCTCTACAGTGCCAACGTTGATGGGCACCGTGGCAGGCCTATGAATGTTCTTAGTGCTCATGCCTGAAGACTCTCCATAGTACGAAGGCACGTTGCACACATGCCGGAAAGTACAGGTGAGCTGTACCATATATAGCCCACAAAAAATGCCCCGTACAACTGCAGAAGACTTTTCTCTGAAGGGCCTCAGTCCTGCTGATAACACGAAGAACATACACAAAACTGATTAGTTTGCTCCGCAGCGCAGTCACATGCTTCCACCAGGACAGGTTGCGGCCAATGACGACCCCTAAATAGCGGTAAGTGCTTGACCGTGGGAATCGCTGCTCCATCAGCGAAGATTGGGTACCGTGACATTTATTTCTTCGTAAATGCCAATGCAGCACCTTTTGCTATTGAAAGTTCTAGGCCCTGACAACACAAGTACTTAGATGTTATTGATGTGCCTTGTTGTAGCCTTGCTTCGCAGTTGTGATCGCGTTGCTCCAGATGCCCATATGCATATGTCGTCCGCATACGCACTGATTCTGACAACGTCGGGGAGCTCATCTTCAAGGCGAATGAGTGTTATTCGGTCACAATGTTCCGTCACAATGACGATTGATATTAGTGAATTGTTCAACCTTTTTTGTATGTGTCACGGTGTGTCTCACATATGTTGCCTGAGCGTTGCCCCATATAATGTAAACTGAGCGAAATAAAGCGACTTAAAGGGACAGGAAGAGTGGCAGAGAAAGCTAGGTCCTTACGTCAACAATGTGAACGTTAAAGTCACCGACTAGCATAAAGGAATTGTGCTTGCGTAAATTTTAAGTAATGCAGTTGCAATTATGATAGATATTAGCCTATCGTGAAACGTTCTTTTTAACCATTCTTTACACGAGCGTTCCCCGTGTAATATAGCCGTGACAACGCACACCAGACAAGTCTCTCCTTAAGGTGCTTCGCCGCTAAAAAAAAAATAGAGGGAGGGGGAAAGGCCGCTGGGTAATACGCTTGCTTTTGAAGCGTGGATACGCGGATTCAAGCCGAAGCGTGCCAAGAAATACTATTTTCTTTTATGCTTTTACTTCTTCATTACGATGGTTTGTTGTATGAGACAGAGGGACGTACGGACATGCACTATTGTCTTTGAATAGATATCTAAAACCTTAATCATTTACAATAAATTATTCATTAGGGTTTCTGAAAGATTCCCCGAGCTTCTTGAAACTTCCTTTCACTCGTGCTGTATAATTACACCAAATAATCCCTGAAGTCAATTGCACTACTTCCTGAAAGAAATAACTTAGTGTCATACTTCTGTAACATGCTATCTAGTCGTGATAGCAAAAGCATCATTATGGAGAAATGATACTATTACCAAACATAAAACTGTAGTGGTACTTAGAAAAAATTACCGATTCCAGAACAACATAACTTCTCTTTCGTAGATGGTAATTCTGTAGGAATTGACGCAAAACATAACATTCTCACTGTAATCGAATATTGAAACTTTTCGCGCAAGCGCATAACAGTACTGCAGGCCACAAAAAAACCTCTGTCAGTGTTTTTCACGACGCTTTCAAGCTATTATCCACAAAATAAAATCATTCATCAGCCGAAACGAAGAATCACTCACGTGCTATGACCATCTCTAGATCCTTTGTGGGATATGCGGAAGCTCACCTTCTATCGGGACGTCGGATTTCTACAATTTGTTTCCGAACCACTGTAAATGAAGAGCTTGACTTACTCTATATACGTTTTACTTCCGAGCTCACCGAATAACGTCGTTGATGTTTTCCAGCAATTGCAGTGAAGTGAAATGAAAGAACTCCGACGTATGTCTCCAGCAGACGGAAGCTTGAAGAAGCGCAGACGCCTCCCATTGCCCTGTAATCCATCAGTGGACGAGACAGCAGAGCGGAACTAAAGCAGTCAATTCATCATTCGGAAAGGCCCTTGAGAAGCCCACATCCGCCTGATTCTGGAAGTGTCATTAAGCAAGTACCACTCTCTGTTTGTTCTTAGTTGAAGGGAATGTTGTTCCGTTTCTCGGGAACTCAATTAATCGTTCCATAACATCTTAAAAAAGGAGCACACGCTCTCGTTTTGAAAATCTCGTTTGCCATTTACAATTGAAAAGTGGTGTCTATATATATTTCAGCATTTCCGTTGGCCGGTGTCGCGTAAGGTGTAGTCATCTTGAAAGTTTTCATTTTTTGTTACTCTAATGAAAACATCGTGAAGGGAAAGACAGAAACGAGAAAAAGGAAGGCGAGGAGTAAAACATCGTCAAGATACTGTGCGAGCCTATAGGATAGCAAAGTTCCTGGCTCAAATAATCAACGTCGAATGCTTCGATGCACGTACTCGTCGTGTTTAACGGCTTGTAAAA